CAATCTTGAATGACCGCACAATTGTCAATCGAAGTGCGACAGCGCTGAAAGCTGAAAATTGGCCTGGTAAAGAAGGGGGTATAAGTGCCTGGTAGGCAAGTGGTTAATGATTCCAGAGGTGCATCATTGTACAGTTGTGTTCAAAATAATAGCAGTCAGACATCACTAACCTGATCAATCACTGTTTTTGGTAGAAATGATATTTCTACATGGCAAATAATTTACTAGCAGGTGTAGTAGAGTAATAGAAATCCAACAGACCCAACAGTCATGACATGCATGCTGCTGATTCTGTGTAATTGAATCACTAATTGAAAGGGGCATGTTCAAAATAATAGCAGTGTGGAGTTCTATTAGTGAGGTCATTCATTCTTTGAAAAACAGGTGGCAATTATTGCCCTTATTTAAGGAAGGAAGGCAGCAAATGTTGTACATGCTGGTTACAGTGCATTTCTCTCTGAAATTCTGAGGAAAATGGGTTGTTCCAGACATTGTTCAGAAGAACAGCGTACCTTGATTAAAAAGTTGATTGGAGAGGGGAAAACATATAACGAAGTGCAGAAAATGATAGGCTGCTCAGCTAAAATGATCACAAATGCTTTAAAATGGCAACCAAAACCTGAAAGACGTGGAAGAAAGCGAAAAACTACCATTCGAATTTATAGAAGAATAGCCAAAATGGCAAGGACTCAGCCAACAATCAGCTCCAGGAAGATCAAAGAAGGTCTAAAGTTACCTGTGAGTACTGTTACAATTAGAAGACACCTATGTGAAGCCAAGCTATCTACAAGAAGCCCCCGCAAAGTCCCACTGTTGAAAAAAAGACATGCTGAAGAGGTTACAATTTGCCAAAGAGCACATTGACTGGCCTAAAGAGAAATGGCGGAACATTTTGTGGACTGATGAAAGTAAGATTGTTCTTTTTGGGTCTAGTGGTCGGAGACAGTTTGTCAGATGACCCCCAAACACTGAATTCAAGCCACAGTACACTGTGAAGACAGTGAAGCATGGTTGCGCAAGCATCATGATATGGGGATGTTTCTCATACTACGGTGTTGGGCCTATTTATCGCATACCAGGGATCATGGATCAGTTTGAATACATCAGAATACTTGAAGAGGTCATGCTGCCTTATGCTGAAGAGGAAATGCCCTTGAAATGGGTGTTCCAACAAGACAACGACCCCAAACACATCAGTAAATGTGCAACATCTTGGTTCCAGACCAACAAGATTGACGTTATGGAATGGCCAGCCCAATCCCCGGATCTTAATCCAATAGAAAACTTGTGGGGTGACATCAAAAATGCAGTTTCTGAGGCAAAACCAAGAAATAGAGAAGAACTGTGGAATGTAGTCCAATCATCCTGGGCTGGAATACCTGTTCACAGGGGCCAGAAGTTGGTTGACTCCATGCAACACAGATGTACAGCAGTTCTCAGAAACAGTGCTTATACAACTAAATATTCATTAAGTGATTCAAAGGAAAGCAAAATCTTCAAACATTTTTCAGTTTATATAGTGAATGTTTGAGTTTGCAAAAGAGAATACAAACACTGCTATTTTTTTGAACAGTCTAATATTCACTTTTCCTCAATTTTTTTAGAGGAACAACACAAATTTGATATATTTTTCTTCATGTTTTGATTTGGAATAGAATGTGTAGTGTTCCCAATGCATTTGTGTATATGAAAATAAAAGCTATTAGAAGGATTTTGAGCTTTATTCACTTTTTTCAACACACTATTATTTTGAACACAACTGTATATCTATTACAATATATTTGCTTAGAATTTAGCTTCAACCCCTACACTTCTACTAGATAGAGGGCAACCAGAAGTAATACTTTTGTGGCAGCACTGTTGCTGCCTTAATAGCTATATCAATGCCAGCAAAAAGGTTAAAGCCAAATTCCAGGGCCACATTAAGATGGCTATTTCTTTTACCTCTGGCTTCCTGAACAACTTGCTGCAATGTCCTACACCAAGCATGGATTGATCTGAAGCGTGCCCAGACTGACTTAGGCCAGAGAGCTAATTCACAGAAAAATCTACTGTACATTACAATGCATGAAATTGTAGCAGAACACTGCAATGACCACCAGCAAAATAGGGTACAGTGAGCAGTAGTTCCCCATATTACATTGTCCAAACTACTGTACTTCATGCTGTATGGTACATACGCTGCACTACTGCATCCTTTATGCCAGATTACACACCATATGCCATGCTGTGTGTTACATGCAACAGACTACTGAACTTTGTACGCTGTGCTGTGCATTAAATACTATCAACCGCTATATACTGTGCTGTACAATGTATATTCCAGACTGCTGCATTCTGTATACCATGTTGACTGCATATTGCTGTACACTGTATACCATGATTTACGATCTTACCTGACACAAAAGCTTAGGAACAAAATTTAGAAATGCTAATATGTTCATGTGGTCAAGAACATGTACAAGCTGAGGCACTGATGCAATATATATATATAAATGTACTGATGCCCTTAGCTCAGCACCATGGACAGGGGTTAAATTATGCCAAACTGCTTGTGCTGGGTTCTAAGATAAGATGACAGGGAAACCTGAAAACGTGGCATTGGTGTCAGGCACTGGTGTGTGTGTGTGTGTGTGTGTGTGTGTGTGTTTTTGTTTGGAGTTTTTTTTTTGGGGGGGGTTATGCCTGAGGGATTTCTAACAGTTTTAGTGGGTACTTATGTTTGCTAAACTAAATTTTATATCAGTTTACAATTTTAGAAAAAAAAAATCACAACAAATTTTGAGTAGGGTGAGATTTAAATCTATATAGGGTACATTGAAGTGCAGTGACTGTGTGCACAGTACGGGAACATGTAATCTGACTGGCTGGCACATACTGTTTTTCTGTGCTTTGCATTAAATTGTGAAATGTTCCTTAATTGTCCAAACAGCATTTATACACAAACACTGAATACCCTTTTGCATAGAATGAGCAACCTATGGTGATTTTTTTTTTTTTTGCGTGTCTTCACTGGGAAGATGTCCCCTGACTTAATTTACAGTCATGGCCAAAAATATTGGCACCCCTGCATTTCTGTAAGATAATGCACCGCTTTGCCCAGAAAATGTTTGCAATTACAAATGTTTAGGCATTGTCGTGTTTCTTTTGTTTATATTAGTATGATAAAAAAAAAGTGGAGAAACAAAAATCGAAATCAGACACATTCCATGCAAATCTCCATAAATGGACTGGCCAAAATTTTGGCATCCTCAAATTAATATTTGGTGGCACATCCCTTGGAAAAATTAACTGAAATCAATTGCTTCCAGTAACCCTCGATGAGTTTCTTACACCTCTCTACTGGAATTTTGTACCACTCTTCTTTCGCCAACTGCACCACTGGAAGGGTTCCTTTTCCCAACTGTTGTTTGAGATCTCTACACAGATGCTCTGTGGCAGGCATCACTAAATGGCGGACCGAGGTCCGGATCCAGACCCAGAAACATTCCTTTCCAGTCTGCAGCCTCACCAAATAGTTACCTGAATGTCCTACCCCCTGATGCCGACTCACCCACCCGCCGCTGCAGCTATTATCTTCAAGGAAGGGTACAACATTTGAGGTGCAGCAGGTCCGTGCCTTTCATAATAGTGCAACACTCTTTCCTTCCTCCCCACACTGTCCTACTTTATTCACACAAACCAGGAAGCACGGCAGGTCTGGACATAGGGCGTGGCCTTTCATGGAAGTGAGTGATGGCTGCTAGGCAGTGGGCCGTTCAAAGCAATAATTTACCCGCCTTTAATATGAAAATTCCTGCCCTATGTCCAGACCTGCCATGCTTGCCGTCTTGTGTGCAGGTAAGGTAGGAGTGTGTGTGTGTGTGTGTGTGTGTGTGTGGGGGGGGGGGGGTTGGGGAAGTAGTGCTGCGATATTATGAAAGGGTCAGGAATCTGTAATATGCAGGAAGGACTGTGAATGGGGGGTTCTGTGATGAGGGGGTCTGTAAAGAGAGGATCTGAGATGAGGGGTCTGTGATTGGGGAGGGTCTGTGATGATGGGGGGTCTGAGCTGAGGGGTCTGTCATGGACGGGTTCTGTGATGGAACAGTCAGTGATGGGGGGATCTGTAATAGGATGTCAGTGATGGGGCGGTCTGTGATGTAAATGGGGGGGGGGGTGGGGATGGTGTTAGGAACTGTGATGTGAAGGATCTGAGCCATAGCACAACATGACACTCGGATTTCCGCTGGAAGAAAAGTTTAGTGTCCGGACCCCTGTGAATTTTAATTCAGTACCCTTGTTCTGTGGAGTTGAGATGTGGACACATTGCTTGCCAAGTCATTACTCTCCAGCGCTTTGTCTGAAACAGTTTCTGGTTGCTTTTTTGACATGTGCTTTGTGTCATTGTCCTGCTGTAAAACCCATGACCTCTGACAGAGACCCAACTTTGACACTGGGCCCTATATTGCACCCCAGAATTCTTTGGTAGTCTTCAGATCTTATAATGCCATGCACACAGTCAAGACATTCAGTGCCTGAAGCAGCAAAGCAACCCCAAAACCTCAGTTAACCTCCACCATGTTTGACTGTGGGACTGTATTCTTTTCTTTAACCACTAGCCTACATGGCACTTATACCCCCTTCCTGCCCAGGACAATTTCCAGCTTCCAGCGCTGTTGCACTTTCAATGACAATTGCGCAGTCATGCAACACTGTACCCATATGAAATTCTTATCATTTTTTTGTGACAGAGCTTTATTTTGGTTGTATTTAATCACCTCTGGGTTTTTTAATTTTTTTCTTAAACCACCAAAAACCACTGAAAATTTTGAAAAAAAAAAAAAAGTTTTTTCTTAGTTTTTTGTTATAACATTTTGTAAATAAGTGATTTTTCTCCTTCACTGATGTGCGCTAATGAGGCTGCAGTGATGGGCACTGATAGGTGGCACTGATGAGGCATTGACAGGCATCACTGATGGGCGCTGAAAGGCAGCACTGATAGGCGGCACTGATAGGTGGCACTGATTGGCAGAACTGATAGGTGGCACTGATTGGCATTGATAGGTGGCACTGACTGGCACTGAAGGGTGACACTAAAAGGCAGCTCAGATGGGCACTGATATGTGGCTTTGATGTGCACTGGTATATGATATGTGGCATTGATGTGGCACTGATAGGCACTGGCACGTGGCACTGATGAGCACTGACAGCTTGCACTGATGGACACTGACAGGTGGCACTGCTGGGGCTACACTGATCATCAGGGCACACTGATCATCAGTGCCCTGATGATCAGTGTACATGTCCCCTCCGCGGAATGCGGAATGATTACCGTCTCTCCTCTCCTCTCGAGCTGTCAGCGTGACAGCTCGAGAGGAGAAAAATGCAGATAACCGGCATTTCCCTGTTTACATGTGATCAGCTGTAATTGGACACAGCTGATCACATGACTGAGCCAACATCTTCGGCTCTTTCCATGGATCGGTGATCTGCTGTGTCTGAGGGACACAGCGCACTGCCGATCGCCGCGCGCTCCCTGAGCCGCGCATGTGCTGTGAGAATGGGAGGACGTCCTATAATGTCCTCCCAGAACGAGAGAACTGCCTTGCGCCCGTTATTGTACTATAGGGCGGGTGGGAGGTGGTTAAAGGCCTTATTGCTTTTTCTGAAAACAGTAGAATGATGGGCTTTACCAAAAAGCTGGATATTTGTTTCGTTTGTCCACAGCACATTCTCCCAAAAGGATTTTGGCTTCGTCAGGTAAGTTTTTTTTTTTGGTAAACTCCAATCTGGCTTTTTATGTTTCTGTGTCAGCAGGGGGGTCCTCCTGGGTCTCCTACCATAGCGTCCCTTTTCATTCAGATTGCGATGTATCCAATATAGTGAGAGCTGACATAATTTGTACCCTGTGCCTGAAGGTCAGCTTGATTTTGTCTGGAAGTTGATCTAGGTTCTTTATTCACCATTCAAACAATCCTTTATTGCAATCTTTGATCAGTTTCTCTCTTTTGTCCATGCCCAGGGATAATTGCAACAGTGCCATGGGATGTAAACTTTTTGACAGTGTTGAACACAGTGGACACAGGAACATGAAGATCTGTTAATTAATCCAGGTATGTTTAATTACAAATTACAGGAGCATCACAAACTTATAATACAATTATTTCTCACAATTTTGATAAAGTGCCAATAATTTTGTCCAGTCCATTTTTGAAGTTTTGCGTGGAATGTGTCAGATTTGGCTTTTTGTTTCTGCTCTTTTTTGTGTTATACCAATACATATGAAAGAAACATAAGAATGCCTAAACATTTGTAATTGCAACAATTTTCTGGGTGAAGTGGTGCATTAGCTGACAGAAATGCACAGGTGCCAATATTTTTGGCCATGACAGTATGCATGGTCACGTGTCTTCAATGGTGACAAGGAAATCATCAAATGTTTGAGTAGTAGAATGTGTTTTGTCCTGCTGTTACAAGAATAAAATATATAGAGAAATCGCATAAAAAGGAGAATTGGCAATAAAAAGTTTAGTTTGGTTGTTTTTTTTGGTGGTGGTGGTGGGGGGGGGGGGGGTTGGGCAGTGACAATCACATTGGTAACTTGTGATAGTGTGCATCTCATGTTCTTCAGGCAGCTGCTTCATAAAAAAAAAAAATATTTCCTTCATGGTGCCGGATACTGCCCAGAGTGGTGGTCTTCCAGGGTTACATTGGGGTTAACTGCAGTGGCTGTGAATGTGAAGGATTTGCACTGCTAATCTGGCTTTTTTTGCCCCCTCCGCCATTCACAGAACTCATTCTATTATTTTCCACAATGCAACATGTTCTATGAATGGACAGGGGAGAACCTGTTGTTCATCTATTCCTCCTCAATTCGCTTAATGCATTGCAGGAGCATGCGAGTCACATTATTGCTAGGCTTGGATACTGGAAGGTTAGTGCACAGTGGGTTCATAGGTAGCGAATGACAGAGAATTTTGTCATAGTACTGCTTTTCTCCATGGAGCTTCAACACGGCTCCCTGCATCTCCCATTCTTTTCCAAAATTAAAATACATTTTTTTTTTTATTTACATCACTATGCATCCACTAAAGAAGTCTGATAATACAGTGAAGGCATCACAAAACGTGTATGTATACAATTTTCTGGTGACTATGTAGCAAAATTATTATACCTAATTAAAAACATATAGGAATTGTGTGTAAAATGTATTATTCCCATCAGTCAGTAAAAATAGACATGGCTGCATTACTTTTCATTCAACCCTTGTACATGGTCGTCAGTCTCATGAGGTATGACTGAAAATTGTCCTGAAATCTCCAAAGATTAGCTCCATTTGCTATACACCTGTACAGGAAATTATATTTCTATTTAGTTACAGACAATTGTGTAATTAACCATTGAAGTGAATGATCATACTTAAAGCAATTTATTAAAGGCAATTTTTTAAATTTTAAAATAACAAACATCATACTTACCTGCTCCTGCTCGGTGATTACCGAGGATCAATGGGGAGGAGGGCTGCTTTGTTTACTAACAGTCCTCCTCCCTGTTGACTCGGGCACACTGCTCTGGATGGCCATCCAGAGCAGTCTGCTTACAGTGAAGCACCAACACACTGCCCCACCCAGTAAAACACTCCCAGCACACAGTTAACCCTTTGATCGCCCTCTCATGTTAACCCTTTCCTGCCCAGTGCCATTAGTACAGTGTCAAGTGCTTTTTTTTTTTTTCTAGCACTGATCAATGTATTGGTGTCACTGGGGATGTCAGTAATAGCAAGTCAGTCCCCCCCCCCGTGTCAGAATGCCCGCCGCAGTCCCTCTATAAGTCGCTGATCGCCACCATTACTAGTTTAAAAAAAAAAAATTGGAAAAAAATTTCCATTATATATACCACCATTTGTAACCACTATAACTTTCACGTAAATCAATTAATTTACACGTATTGGGTTTTTTATAGAACAAAAAAAACACAGGCGATCAAATACCACCAAAAGAAAGCTCAATTCGTGGAAAAAAAAAGGACGTAAATTTAATTTGGGTGCAGCGTTGTATGATCACGCAATTGTCAGTTAAATAATGCAGCGCCGTAACGCAAAACATGGCCTGGTCAGGAAGGGGGGTAAATCCTCTGGAGGGCAAGTGATTAATTGGACATGTTTTTATGGAAGCTTGGGTAATTGGTGAACTGTGTTGTTAAGTGGTAGCTTTTCCAAATCGCTGAATCTTTTTATTTAATTTCAGCTTAATATTTTGTAATTATACACACTATCATATGCTACATACTCATGTAGGCACAGTCATGTACTCTCATTCATCTACAGAAAGTGTTCCAGTATAATCCATTACTTTCTAACATACTGTTTTGTTAGGGTTTTGGGGTTGTATTTGATAAGTGCAAAGAGATCACACAAGTACTTATAAGTAAAACATTTATTACAACTAATGACAGATACAGATAAAGAAAAATATAACAAGAATATTTACAGTAACTAAAGATGCTGTTTCTGCCACGGGTCCCTCCATTACATGGTGTGGCACACAGGTGACCACAGACACTTGCTCAACGCAGCTCTGAGACGAGACAAATATTTCCAGTCTAGCTGTATATTATATACTGGACCTATGTGTAAGCGATTGACAACCCACCCCCCATGCAAACAAAAAGGGGAGCAGTAATCTGACTTGGATTGTCCAAATAGTCACTTTCCTTTGTTATTTAAGATAATCAGAACTTATTCTCGTATAGCACTTTAACCAAGTCTTGGGGCATTTTTAAACATTTGTGAGGCCAACATTAATTAAGGGAATATATAATATACAATTTCCCTATTACTCCACCTCCTGGCTCAAAAATGCAAGTGATGCCTCTCACTGTACATAAAGGCAACACGTCAACAGTGGGGAGAAAGCACCTAATTATAGTAACCAACTGAATAATTAATGTGTTCTTCCACCCCCTAGTTAATATTACCTTAAATGAAAAATGGGGGATCTAAAGTGTATCTATCTAGAGTGTAGATGCCTACTTACCCTATCTGATTTACCTACACAGAAATCTCATTCAGCTATGTTAGGGCTGAAAAATATAAAAATATCAAATTCAAAAAATATTAAAAAAAAAACTACATGTTGGACTGACAAAAGAACACCAAACTTTTCCTTTCAAGAATTCAAAAGCAAAGGAGCAGACACTAACCTCAAACTCTTTTCCAAGAGTTTAGAAGCTTGTCACAGTTCTCTAAATCTGGACAGCAGAATCTTAGTCATCCAATGATCAGATCACAGCTGCAGCACAGCACATGCAACGTTGTAAAAATCAAAGAACTGTACAATATAAAGTCCATTTTATCATCTGGGCTATTACTGTTCACAAGTCATAGAAGTGCAGACACTTGACCACCATGGTAGATGGAACTTTTGACTTGACCATCATGACAGTTCAGTACTTGGCCATGATAGCGAATGGAGCAATTCAGGTAACTGACCATCAAAGCAGGTGGAGATTGCATCAGCTGCTGATCAGTGGCAAAGTCTTTACTAACGGTTGCTGCTGTCAAAAGCTTTTTTCTCCTTTTCTCCAACACGTTTCTGGTTGATGTCAAGGCAGGTGTGTTGCCAAGGCTGTCAGTCCAGCATTTCATAACTAGCAACATTGCCCATATAGTTCATTATAGATTTCTGAACAATTAAATCCATGATCCCTAGTGACCTGACCTAACACTAAAAAAGAAAAACTTTTTGTTTTGCTTTTTTTTCGTTAGGGTGAAATGTTGTTACAGGAACACCCCCCCCCCCCCCCCCCCCCATCTACCACCTACATTTTACACTACTCTGCATCTACTTAACCACTTCCATACAGGGCACTTTTACCCCCTTCCTTCCCAGGCCAAGTTTTAGGTTTCAGTGCTGTCACACTTTGAATGACAATTGCGTGGTCATACAACACTGCACCCAAACTAAAATGTTATCATTTTCTTCACACAACTAGAGCTTTCTTTTGGTGGTATTTAATCACCACTGTGGTTTTTATTTGTTGCTGAATTAACAAAAAAAATGACAGAAAATTTTGAAAAAAAAAAAACCCCCCACGTTTTTCTTTGTTTCGGTTATAAAAGTTTGCAAATAAATAATTTGTTCTTCATAAATTTAGTTCAAGATGTATTCTGCTACATGTCTTTGGTGAAAATAACCCAAATCAGTATTTATTATTTAGTCTGTAGGAAAGTTATAGAGTTCACAAACTATGGGATATATCTGAAAATTGATCAATCCTGAAATGCTGACAGCCAATCTAATTTCTTGAGGTCCAAGAATTTCAGAACAGTACAGACATCCCCCCAGATTACCTCTTTTTGCAAAGTAGACAGTCTGACATATTTCATAACAGACATGGCAAGTTTTTTGAAGTTGTAATTTGTTTGTCATTTTTCGGAAACTTAAGGAATTAAAACAAGGATTTTCACTATTTTTTTTTTTTTTCATACTGTCACCAGTGCAGTAC